ATTTTTTAGTAAGGTTTCATGTATTTTAAAATATGTCGCCAATACCATATCATAGTAACTCTAAATAGTGTACTTACATTATGTAACGCTCGTATACATATTGCATTCACACATGAAATTGTTAAAGTTAAACGACCACACTTCCGAACATATTCTGCAATGCATACACCTCAAGAAATAATAATTATGCTTGCGAGATATACAAATATACAATATGTATACAAAATAAATAAATTTAGTATTACTTAATAACGCCAATCAAATGCGCAATGGCTATATTGATTTGTGTTAATGTTTCAATCGCATGGAGAGCAGAGTGGTATATGTAACTGCCATGATATGTAGGGTAAACCATATACCTTAGAAAACAGGGACATGCTACTGTGGGTATCCCCTTCATGTAACCTTAGTTATAAACAAGTATTTTTTTATGAAAAAAGTGCTACATTAAATACGCCAAACTTAAAAGGCAGTGGGTGTTGCGTCACGCATATACGAAATCTGTGTTTGATTTTTCCATAATCCAATGCGTTAATGAAAATCACGATTACGACATTTGACCTGGGTGCATTGTGCAAGTAATGACGCCGGTGACTTCTTCGATACCTTACAATCACTAAAGAAATTACCTAGATAAAGCTTGGTAACTTCTAATTTTGCTTTCGTTGGTATGCCAACTGTTAGGGTAGCCAACATTGTTTATATAAGTCCCATGTCTCACGCATGCGTGGCGCGACGACCACCGACCTTTAATGTTTTGATTTTGAAAGGTGAACATAAAAGCCAGAGGCTTAAACAAGTTCCAAAACCATGCACGCTAGAAATTAGGACACCACTTCCGGGTATAAATAAAACATGTATCCACGCCGATAATATCGCTATTACCATCTAATAATCGCGTTTAAGAACGGCTGCGCTGCGGCTGATACGCAGGGAAACATTTACAGAAGATCTTGTTGACAAAATCTGCAATCACGTAACGTGACGCAATCAAAATTCCCAACTGAAATGATTCTAAATACATGCACTGGTCGATGTAGGGGGATTTCCAGGGGATTCCCCCTATAACTTCAGACCTTGGACTATGTGCAATGCGCATGCCCAGAGAGGCTGACATTCACAAGGCTTTTCATTCTCGCATCAGATCACATGATTATTTTACTACTTTCCCTTCCGTGACAGCTATGTATTGCTGATGTGTCTATGTGGCATCGCTTCAACAAAGTAATTTGGAATCAGTGAAGATGATGTTTTCTTTGGCGTGTTTCTGTACCTTTATTTATTTGTGTCATGGCAATCTGGAAGGTAATGAACAAATAGTTTTAAACATATCATTGTTGATGTTTGGCATCGTACAATAACATGGCACATGTAGCTACACTCGACGACCTGCTGTGAAAGGCGAATCAGATTTTGTCTCATTCCATAAGCACTACGTCTGGTATTGCATTTAAACTACATGTACGTCATTTAAACTGCTGTGTTCACAGTTAATCAACACAAAATACGTAGTGTAATGTAGTGTTTGTTTCCTATAGGTTACCTAGACACTAACCATTCAACCATATATTACAGAATACACATATCTGAGGTGAGTTCATAGTAACATCTATAAAGTACAAATATATCGACTTGTTTTATTACGTAATATTGATGTAATTACGTCATGTTTATTTTGCTTTTGTGCGTGTCTGAATTGAATTTACAGTAATTGATATCGCATATTATTAATATGCATAGACTCGTAAATTTTCGCTTTTTTAATTTAATTGATTGAACATTTTTTGTAAACAATTGAATAGTAATATTTTAGACAAAATAGTTTAAACGATGTCTAAATCACCTGTAAGAGTCCTATGTGAGTATTTACAGCACATTTTGAAGAAAACAAGAAAATTTAACATCATGTTTATCGACTAAATTTTACACAACATGGATTATTAACGTATTCAAAAATCTGTGTCTTTTTAGTTTTACAGAATACAAATAAGTAATGTTAATGATAAACATTTGGAATAAAACGCCAGTATTTTCAATTCGTATAAAACAAAACAGGGCTGAGGTATCATAAAAATACATACTTAATGCTCTATATCATTAGCATTACATTGTACAGTGTAATGGGTCAGTTTATTGGGTTGATTATTTTAAAACATCCCTGTACAAAATAAATAGGGCGGTGTGGGGTGGGTCTGAGCTGGGGGTCGGTACTATCATTTGGATCCAATACTAGTCTTTTCGACATTTCTGTATATTCATTTATTTCCATAGTGGATATAATATGGCTACTTTTGCATCAAAAGTATATAAATCATATATTTCCATTAAAGTGGTAAAAATCATTATTCGTGTTTTTTTTATAATGCAAAATACCTAACCCAGTATTTAAATGGGAGTGTAGATGTATCAATTCTTCATAATAATATATAATATATTTACGTTTAAAATACCTACGTTTAAAATCAAAGCAATCATTAATGTTGATTTTAATGATATGTTGTCACAATAAATGAGATAACAATATTAGTATTAATATAATGTGATCGAGAATTGTTTCCTCACTCCACTATCCATTGACGTTTCATGATATGAGGTCATACAAAGTGTAATTAATAACCCTAATACTTCAATCAAAAGACAATTAATATAGAACAACGGGGATGGGGAAATATACAAAATGTTATCTTAATAAATTGTGGTAAGTAAATGAGTGTAAGATAATTTTATGAAATTAAATGTGTTTCATAACTTTGATATCATTTGTTACTTGCATTTGTATTTCTTTAGAATTTACTTCCGGGTAGCTCGGTATTTAACCTTGGTGGTGAAGTAACGAACTTTATTATTCGAAGTGGAAACGAGGTAAGAATTTATAACTGATCAATTCTTTAACTTTTAGTTATATCATATTTCAGAGAACTCATGATTTTAGCGCTGCTTTTCAGATAACATTTTAAACATTAATTATAGATGAAATGTGGATTAACTGGTGTGATATTGAATATTTGGTTATGATTCATTTTAACATAACAATAACATTTTGGTTTCAAATACATCAGTATGTGTAAACACAATTTTTAATTCTCATTTTCCCAACCAAGCGCAAATTTTGCACGTTCGTCTCCGTTTTTTACTAATTAGGTAATGGCACATCACTAATTTAAGTCTTAATGTAAACACATACTCTTCCTTGAGAAATGACAGAATACGCAGTGAATGTGATCGCTCTGACAACAATCCTACCCTACAAATAGCATTTGTTATCCAGAAAAAGTTAAGACTTAACGTGTGTTGTATTGTATTGTCATGACGTCAAAGTGATCACAACTCATGTGCATTGTGAGATAAACGAGTTCGGTGCAGTGTTCAGCACTACATACATTTCGATTTTACATTTCAGAATGGCCATTTCATTTGTGACACACACATGCAGAAAATATCTCTCTCAACATTTCTTAACTACGATGATAGGCACGAGTATATACTCACTTTGCAATGGGATTCAGTAAGTAAATTTTACTATAATACATCCATGAAAGACGACTACACGTGAATACATTATACAAATTGTAACAAGTTTGTTCCGCAATAACGTTAATCTGTTATTACACTCGACATATTGTTTATATCAGGAAAATATAACTAAATATGGTGTCCTGACTGTTATAGTCGAAAATGAGGCTGATTGGCCTCCAGTATATAATGAAAGTTGTGAGTTTAAGGATCTGCAAGTCAGGGGAGAACATGACCTGGTAAGTCGCAAATGAGAAGCTGAATCACCGATTGTGATTAATATACTAGCGAACGTCATCATTATTCTGCTTATCAGTCAATATGTCTTCAATAAGCTTTGCTTGGCGACACACTCTTCAAAAGTTTTTGTCTAGGTCTGTTTTTGCTCCATATTTGAATAACATTTTTGATCTGCCATTGAACTATCAATATCTCAGATATACAATACAACTATTACTCGTTCACTCAACAGTACTTTGTATCTACATCATTCACATCATGTGTTTGTGGTATCCACAAGTACTGGAAACAAATCGATCACAGATTTATAATAGTTGCATCATAATTTTAAGATCTTGTTGGGACTGTTGTTAAATAATAAATTAAGTGAATAATCAAACTGAGAGGTTACTGGCCCAGTAACATCGAATTTACAAATACAGTTTTGTAATTGGCAATAAATTGAAAACTACAATAGCACAATTTATATTTGAACGGCAATAATTACAAAAATACTGTAAATGATCTTTTTCCCAAAAACAAATAAAGTTGTGTTGATTAACTAATACATAACAATATACATTGTACTGACCTTTGTATAGCCTTTCCCATTCAGAATTAGAAATTCATACAACCCACGAGTCGCACCGGATGAACCTCCTTCTAATATAGTTGTTCATGGCCAAATGGACAACAGTGAATGTATGTAACTTTACTTGTATATAGTACAGCTCATAACATATAAACATGTGTATTATTATCGACAGTTTTTTTCATGCAAAATGTCTTGAGAATTAAAGATTACATTTATCGACTAATTTATTTTAAGGTCGATTGACAGTTGTCGTGAATCTACTGTATAACGATTTAGAACTTGATCTATTCAAGCAAGTGCTATCTGACCATAAATTACAAGGCGGTTGTAAATGTGGTGGTGATCACTTTTATATTAAACCGACAATTGATAATGTAAGTATCGATATATCTTTTTTAAATGATTGTGACTTTGTGCAGTGAGCTTCGTTCATATGAATTATATGATAATGTTATTATAATGAAATTAGTATTTACATTCGTGATTATTAGTAAACTATTCACAACACATATGAACATTATCGCAGATTGAAGTGATATGAAAAACATTTTCCGTATTTGACGTTTCTTGAAGATGAAATCGTATATTTAATGTACATTGAATTATATTTAATCAAATTTCAGGGTTCTTTTAGCAATGATGCTACAAATGCTACAAGTAATGACGATATGATAATTGAATATTCGAGTGTTGAAAATGCCTTTCGAATTGTTTTTAGTCACTTTACTTCTGATAAAGTAGACAAAGGAATGGAGTGCTATTTCACAAATATCCCTGACGTTATCCCAAATTTCCACTTGACAACTGTGCATGCATTTTATGATATAGATGTGTTAGGTGAGATTCCATTTCTTATCAATTAACAAGCATATGTATTAACACCCTGGGATTTATTAACTTTACTTTATTCTAAATTATATAATAAGTAAACAAGTGTTGAGTTCATATAATAGTAATACTATTTTAGAGTCATATTGTGCATTGTACATATCGTAGCATTTTTTGATATGTATCTTCTTATCATTCAGAATTCTGTAAAAATTATCTTTGAATTGCCTTCGCATTTCTGTGGCCGGTTTATGTATTTAAAACAGTTCGTTAAAATACGCGCTTAGGGTTTGTTGACAATGAGACTATACTATTTATCCTAGCACGCTCGCCAATTGTCAGGCAAGCCGCACATGCAATATAAATAACTAGCAGATACAGAATTAATACGTTTTATTAAGCTAGTAGTGATTTCTATACACAACGGGATGATGCTAATGGAAATATTACTAGTTACATTAATACATGTCACAATCCATAAAACGGCTTACAATTATAAGACAAACTAGACTACACGCTCATCAAAATTACAATAATGCGTAAAGCATACACGTTATAAGTACAGGCAGTAAATTAAGAACTGGTATTATAAGTTGTTAATACAACCGGTTAGACCTAATGAACACGTCACACAATAACAAGTTCAGACTGTCCTAATGTCCGCTAAGTTCAAACGTTCACTTGCTCGACACTTTTACTTCACTCCACACAATCCAGAATTCCACTTCACAGCCTTTCACTCAGACTGCGCTCCATGCTCCATGCGTTACGACGGCTCACCACTAACAGGTCATCTGGGAAAAGGGACAAGTACATTCCAAAATACCTGCCGTTCTAAACACAACTAAAGAAACGTAATATGGATGTATTTAATCGGGCTACCGTACCAAATACAAGTGAATGAACTACCAAGAAACGATTAAACTGAATTCTCAACTTACAGTTTCTATGTGCTGGCGTCATGTCCATCTCCCTCACCAAAAGTTGGAATCTCCAAGTCTCAGGAATATCCCCAAGCTGCAATGTGACAGACCTCTACTCTATATAATTGGCTGACCTAATACAGCGAAGTCACCACTGACGTACACCAGTTTAAAGCCTGAACGCCTTGCCAGTTGATAGTAAAATTACGAGTCACCGGGAGTAGAATTGCAGAAGAAGCTCACTCCTGGACAACTGACCACATCACACTGCAGAATTACCAAGCACGCTGACCTACTTTGCATCACAAAATCAGTTCTATTCATCACTTCAGCCTACTCTAGTAAACTTCCATACACCCACCTGTAAGTGCATACCAATTCACACTCGCATACCAGCACAACTGCAAATTAAACTATGACCTGATTTATGTACACCTGTACACTAGTTACTAAACAACAGACTCAGCAATATTAAGTATATTATGTGATGAGTTTATTCAATTAAGTTACTTTTACAGTACTATAACCTACATACACAAATGACTAGACAATAACAAATAACACCCAAAATAAGTGACAACTTGTCACAGTATTGTACAAATCACAAGAAATACTACTATACTCATGTTGCACATGACTGTGCTGCATATTTTGCTATTCTGTCATGTGTTGTTACAGGTTGCCCTGAAGGGAAATTTGGCGGAAATTGCCAATATGAGTGTTATTGCCAGAACGGAGCAACATGCCATATCTTCAATGGTGCATGCAAATGTACCACTGGATGGAAAGGAATAGCCTGTGATATAGGTATGAATTTATGTATAATTAAGGATTATGTATTTTTAAAGAAATACTGTCGAATATATTGTTTTACCAGACATGTGTTTCATTGTAGTTACCCCTAGTGTAGTGTTCACTGCACCTACATTCTACTCTTATGTTGGCCGAGACTTATCATTCGTCTGCGATTTCAACCACCTGAACGCCTCTGATATTTATGAAAGAAGCTTTCATCACAATGCTAATATTCTAGCAAAAAATACAGTGACTTTCAATAATGATACAAGAATTTATATCTGGAATGAATATGAAAGGTAAGATTGACGATAACGATATTGTCTTGACCCATTATTCTGGCCGTTGGTAAACGTTTTGTTATTAAGTATATTGTGAATTGATTGTAAAACGTATTCATAAAATACAGATAATAATATCTACAGATAACTGATAGTTAGAGTACGCACACGTGAATGCTAACCGTAGTTAATGGCCAGTTTGTGGTGTCGATTCTAGCCGTACCTGGACAAGTAATTCTGTACTTCCAGCAAGATTCAAGTGTTTTGCATGCCTACCGTGGATTATGTGTCACATTGCACGTATGTTGCGTAACTCCCTTTGTAATGAAGGACAATGAAGGACAGTGGGTAAATTATATGTAGAAACCACGCCTGATTCATACATTATATACTGCATATTGCTTTGAAAAGCTAAACACCTGCTAAGATTATTCAGTATATTGCATGCATTCACATGAATCTGAAAATCTTCGATCAATAATTATTTTTTAAATAGTGAAGATAACGCTGTGCTGTTCACAACGTTCACGTGAAAGTAAAACATTTTAGAACGCTCACTCCTGGGTATTGTTGAGAAATAGGCAATGGTTGAAACTAAGAAATAATACTTTCCTAGTAAAATAAAATCGACCCTATCAGACTATTAGAACAATAGCGCCGAACCGGAATGTGCTCATTACTGTGCATAACCTGCAAACGACGTTATCTTGACTAAATACCAGTGGCATATTTTATAAACTGACATTGTAAATCAGACATTGAATCCTGGTTCTGCAGCTTCAATCAATGTACACGTTCGTAATATTTGTATGAATTGTTTTAGAGGACTAATTCCAAAAACATAAATACATATGAGCCATGAATAACTTTCCACAATCCATAGTTATCAAACCATATATAAACCGGAAGGTCAGGGCAATCATAGATCGTTAGTGTGTGTCGTTGAACGACATATCCTCTCTAGAGATACACTAATTACGCGGTTAATACGTTTTATTCTGTGTGTCATTTAATAAAATTTGCCATTTTTAAACAGTACTGATCTAATGAATTTCTGGCTTAAATCCTGAAAACACTTTATGAACGGTGTGTACGTCATTACATCGGTTGCTATTATCACAGCCATATACAATCTTATGTTGTTCATGCTTTTATATGGTAGATTATCTAATAACAAGATTCAGGACCAATGAATGTACTATCCTTGCTATTGGGAAATTAAAACAGCTTTTTATGATCTTCATTATTATTCAATCTTGTGTAGTGTGCTAACTTTCGCTGATTGTTTTTATGTTTGCTCCAATTCGCTACAGATTTGGAGTAGAAATTTACTCTGTTGCTGACCAAGACGCTGGAATATATGAATGTAATGTAGTTGACATATATGGTGAAGTGTACAAAGATTACACGACTCTGATAGTGACAGGTAAAACATTTTTTCAGTTTCGGGCTGAATAGAGGTCTTATAGTGCCTGATATAAGATTCATACTTAACATGATGCGAATCACGAATTACACATTTTATTTTTAGGATGCGAAAATAATCGTTTGGGGTGCAACATGTGATAAAACTTGTAATTGTGAAAATAATAGTAACTGTAGTCGTAAAGATGGTTGTATTTGTAGCCAGGGATGGAATGGAACATACTGCACAGAAAGTATGTGAGTTTAAGTAACATTGGAGGAAATTTAATTCGCTGAAAGTTTAATACAACATTCCGATAACAAAACCAAAGATTTTACTGTTACACACGAAACAAACGCATTAGAACATAACTTACTTAATCACAGGTTCATGAACTATCTAACCCCTTTATTTGTTGTCAATATGCAGATGTAGGGGCACCGGAGTTTGATTTTGCCCGCACAACATTACGGCATTATTAGATGAAGGGTCATCGTCTACTGAAGTCACGTGGCCAAAGGTTGAAGTCAATGACAATTCAGGACTGTTTAATCTGACATCAAACCATCAAGCACGCGATAAATTTATCATAGGAGTACACAACATATTGTACACAGCAGTAGATAATCATGGAAATACTGCCTTGTGTAGATTCAGTGTAAATGTGCGGGCTGCCAATATTGGAACAAAGAAAACTGTTATTGTATCATCAATTGTGATTTCACTCTTATTGGTAGTGTTAGTTACTTTTGGTTTTGTTGTGTGTCTCCGATACAGAAAGAATAGACTAATGTACCCGTTAATATTTGGTAGATCTGATGACGATGGTGAGTACATACTTAGTCCTATATTTAGATGAACAGTGTATTATTTAATGTCCTCCGATCAACGTCATCATTAGTAGATTTGTTTTACAGATGATAAGGAATGGGATGCATTTGTAGCTGTTAGAGGGGGTACGGAAGATGAAACATTTGTATATAAAGAATTATTGTACGAATTAGAGGAAAATAATGATTATAAAGTAAATATTCATCATAGAGATTTCATTGCTGGAATACGTAAGTAAATGGCATACTTTGTCTCATGATAATCATTCAAATACATATTAATACATATAGTCACGCTTTCCGCATCTACAGAAACATAATATTTTAAAAGGGTATATACATCCGTATAAATGGATTGTACTTACCTTTATACTTATTTGCATATTTCAGCTATCGTTGACAATATACTTTACGCGATTAAGAACAGTCGACGGACGATATTGATATTATCTCCAGAGTTTGTCCGAAGTGAATGGTGCAATTATGAAGTTGATCAAGCTAAATTTGAAATGTTCGGATTACGTCATAAACTGATTCCTATAATGTTCGAAGACGTGACCCACATGGGTGGCGGATTGTCTGCTACGTTGAAATCGATTTTAGACTCTATAAACTATCTCATATGGCCCAGAAATGGGTCTGAAAATGAGAAAAAGGAGTTTTGGAAAAGATTAATTAGGGCAATGCCACGAAATAATCAGAAACAACATTTACAACAACGACTCGGCTTTATATCAAGTATAGTAAATCGCATATTTCATCGTAAACTGTATCTCAGGCTTTCTAATGACAATGGGTGTGAGGAAATAGACCTAGAAATAATGTGAGTGTTAATGTATGTCATACATAACATGATGATCTCAACATTCCATGTATGTGTATAGCATCAATGTGTCGTCAACATTTAAGAATTTTATATAATATTGTAAAAATATGTGTTTATTCTGTTAAATTTTGTTTAAACGTTTGCATTTTGTGTTGTATTCAGAATAAAGTGTGAATTTGCAAATAATAAACGAGGAGGTAATTACCCCATCTGCAAAATTATAATAAATATAACCATAATTGAGTCACATGCATATCAAATTTTAGGTTTCACTCCACAATTAGAATTTGTATGAAAGCTCGGAAGATCACCTATATGTGTAATCTGTTTTGTTTTGAAAGAGATATCTTGGTTGAAAGTTTAGAGAAGCCAGCTGGTTATAAAATGGTAGTTTGGTATGAGTAGTCGACTGGGTAAACATTTCCAATGATGCCGTGGATAATTTGTTAAAGCTTTCAACAAATGTGACAGCCCTGCAACTTTTGCAAATTTAGTTAAGTCGTCATTTCTTTATTTAGAAAACGTTTGAGTATAATAACATGTTGTTGTCTCTGTGGAACATAATGCTATTATGATATATGCAACTGTACTATATAACAGACTAATAATGCAACCAGATAGTACTGTTTGGTCAAGTCTGTCAGTGTGGATAACGATAGGCTAGATTTAGGCTAAGCTTGCGACTGCAATATATCAGCTTGTTTGCTTCTGAAATGTGACTTTATGGTAAACCTTGTGCCTCAATATTTGTTTTTTTGACTCTCATATATATCTTTAGTTTTATGTATTTTAAAATACACAAGTACATACACAAGTAACTCTTCAAATTATTTCCATGTAAACTCCATGATAATAATGTGTTTCAAGAATGTTAGTCCAGTGGTAGTAAAATCGTTAGTGCTCTCTACATTGTTCTCCATTGTTTCTTATTGTGTTTCATAAAACTAGCATATTTACTGGTATCTGTAATTCTCGAATATATACAAGATCTCGACAATAGGCCCACTGGGTGCTCTATCTAAATATATCCACAATAAGTATATAGTGTGCTTACATCATTTAACGCCCGTATATACACTGCATTCTCACAGAAATTGTTAAAGGTAAACGACCACACCTTATAATATAGTCTGGAAATGTATAAACCTCAAGCAATAATAATACTGCTATTGAAATAAAAAAAATATACAATATATGTACAAATAATTCCGTATTTATTATAACATTCCATATGTCGGAGCGTCAAGCATTAAATATTTGTTTAACAACGTCAACCCAAAGCGCAATGTCCATATTGCATTTCTTTAACTTTTCAAACATATAGAGAGCAGAGTGGTATATATAACTACCATGATATGTAGGGTAAACTACAGTTTGCAATTGCGGTATGGGCCATTAACACTCAATTATTCTAGCATAAATAATGCATGACCCCACTTCAGTGTTATTGTGTACTAGAACTTGTTATATCATAGATGAACGTCGTTGATAGAGAGCACGCTTTACAGGGCAGATGAATAACCAAACCAACCATTTAATGAAATAAATATAGTGTTCAATAATACTGTTTATCCAGATTGCACCTGTCAGCAGTCTGGAAAGAAATGAGTCCAAATGTATAAATTTGTTCTTAGGCGTTTGGACACATTCAGCGCATATTTCTCAACCAAGTTAAAATCGTTATGACCATTGTAGCATGACCATTTGCAGCATATTTACATGACATTGACCAAGTTATGTTAGCAGTGATAATGAACCTTAGCTTTCACAATGCGATGCTATCCCCCTTCTCGTACCTTAAAACCATGTCCACATAAATTGCATCACTTCCGGGCCACCGCATATAGCTGTATTCTTCTCTATGAAATTATGCCCCAATAATTCCATTGCAAACACATTATTCTTCAATGGATGTTCAAACACATTTCCTTCGTTAAATTAAAAAGTCTCATTTAATGGTTGAATGTTATTGCAATATCAGCCTCATAAAATATTTTATTATATTTGTTTCCCCTTTGGCTGAAAA